ACACTAAGATGACTCATTACCTTTTCCGGGCAAATGGCCGCGTAGGTAGAACACCAGAGGGCGCATTATATTTCCCCATGAGGAGAGGGAAGGCCATTCTATCCCACCAGGGTGCCCACCGGCTGCGATTCTGGCTACGCGGGGGAAGGGTCCCTTGGTAGATCCGGAGATCTTTAGAGGGATATATCATACATTGATCAGCTCCTTGACGCGCGAGACGCTCTGGCCCGGGCACTTAGCACTTGATCCGGGATCAACGCAGGGGTCCTCACTGACGCAGAAAGATATGTTATCGTCTCAACAGGAACGGCTGAAATCGTGGTAAAGACCCCCTCCCCCGCTCAGCACTGGGGCTCCTGACTGACACGCACGCTTACACACGCGCACACACAGGCGGGAAATAAATGAATCAGTTTCCTTATTCCTGCTTGGAGGCCTGGGCTGAACGCGCCATGCATTGCTATTGTGAGTCGGCGGTTGATGCTGTGAAGCAAAGATGTCCTCTACAATCTGTAGATGGCAGCACTGATCGGGAATAGTCTTGGCTGTGCCCGGGATGTGCGATGCGGGATGGAACCAAGATGGTCTTTCGTGATGGGACTTCGGAGGTTTTCCGGGTTTTTTTCTTGTCAAATCCTGGGTATGCATGCATGCTGCAGAATTAAGAAGCTGTCTGGATTGCGTGGGTTTTAGGATCCGTCGTCGACCCCGAAAACAGAGCGGACAGATTTTTGACAGCGGATGTGATCGTGAACCTTTCGCACAAATGGATGAAGCCAGCTAAGTGGTCGAACGCTAATGGCAGACTTCGCCGCGTAAGGGACGAGGTATCCTCCTCAACGTTTTTAAAGAAGGAGGGGCCGCTTTTCCCAAGCCCTGTGAAGACTAGCAAGGTTTCTGCACCAGCAAAAGTGGTTCGGGGGAGCTTTAGTAGTAGACATTCATGTCGTGAGGTTGTTAAGCTTTTAACTAATCGAATTTTACTCAAGTGTCTCTCCATCAATAAGGGCATATTGCTTCAAAAGAGGCGTCCCAAATTTGCATGCGGTTTGAACTGAAATAGTCATCTTGAAGATAATTCAGTGCAGTTCACAGTTCCGTCCTCCCTGAGACCTAGGCCTAAACCCTTTTAATTTTTTAGCTACACGCCTGCGAAGCTATGCAGAATATTACTTGTAGACTGATTCAAGGTCAACCAGGCACCAATGGCGCTATAATAACGTTGTTCAAATCCTGTCATTCCACTGGCCATGCCGCGGTCAAGTCGTTCATATCTGACGTTTGTGAGCACAATTTTCGGGTATAACGGCCATCAATTGGCTCTCAACCGATGTTGTGCAAGGGACGATAACGTAATGAAATCATAATGTATTCAGGAACATATTAACTAAACCGAGAAGTTGTGTTGCTTAGAGTAGTATTTTCCACTTAAAAGTGTACCAGTAGTCATAAGTGAGCTTATCTTATCATGCTTGCTTGCCTGCCTTGCCTTGCCTGCTTGATTGCCATACCCCGCCTCAACGCGCTTCCATACATTCGTGGCGCCGAAGCAGTCTTCTTCATAAAGTTATCCTGGATTTGGGGGGACAACTCTACCTCCGTATGGCGGGAGGCGATGCTCCTATTCCAGCTCATCACCCCAGGCTGCCGCAGGGAAAGGCTGTGGTGATGTTGCAGAGGGTGTTGTACTAGTTTCAACCGGTTATTCCACCACCGAGTAGGCGATTATGTTTTCTTGTTCGGCGAAGTCGAAAGCCGACCTGCGGACCACGATGTGAGTCATGCCATGAGGTATCTCACCCGTCTTCGTGGCCTGTTCGAAAATACGGTCTTCTGGTTGGCTGTAAATGCCGTGGACGTCCCTTTCAACGGCCTGGGCGCAACAGGCATTTTTGGGTCCATCTGGAGATACCAGTCGAACAGACATAGGTATTATTGGTCCACCTGTACTTGACCTGTGTGATCTTATAACGCACTAGTGTTTTGCTGTTTCGCAGCCTTGTACGACATGATTTGCAAACCGAATCTCGGCACTGGTTTGCTGCGATGAGAGCAATCGATAGCGTTAGCGCAGTGACTGACGAATGATAGCATCCGTTTTGACAGTCACTGTGATGAGATAAGAGCATGGTCCTTGCGATAGCGCATTGAACGTTCCTGTCGGATGAGACGCACGCCACTGCACGCTTCCAGCACACGGCAGGCAAGGCACGAGTCGAAGATGTTTAGATGCGGATGGATGTGTTGACTTTCTTGGTAGGCATTGGTACGTAGTGGAAATGATGCATGGCGTGGCTGCACTCCTGTTAACACGCGCCCGGGTGGTCGGCTAGATACCCTTCGCTCGGGTGGGGATCGGGGTTCAGTTTGATCCCCTGAGATCTCGGGAACTAAGAGAGCTGAGGACACCAAATTTACAGGGTGCATTGAATTGTACGTGAAATCACTTACGTCAAAGTTTGAGGTTGCTAGGTCATGACTTTTGGGTGAAAAAGATCAAACACGGTCAAATTCCAGGGTGGTATCTAAAATGCCCCCAGAGTCCAGATATTTGTTTCTAAGCAAAAGGTCACATGCTCATTTAAGGTCAGTGACCTTGCTTAACCTTTTGAAAGCCATGGTAACCAGGTGGCCAAAATCATACAAGACTGCTTTGAGTGTTGCACTTGAATAAGCCACAAAGATAACGCTAGACAGTATGTTCCTAACAACTAAATGTTGACCCGGGTCATTTTAGGTCAATGACCTGTTCTGAACTTTATATAGCCCATGAAAGGTGCGTAATGGGGTTCCTGCTATCAATAAGTTCGATATGAGCGCCAGAAACTACCCATGCAGCAAGCTCTACAATAACAAAACAGGCTGATTTTGACCCCGGTCTGACCTTTATACCTGACCTTAGGTCAACGTAATTTGCTCATCCAATATTTTTGTTACGTAAGAAAACATCTCAGAGATGCATGGCTTCGTCTTACACGCCGTTGTTGGATCAGACTGAACGATTCCCTAGAAATTGACTTCGCTGAAACCATGACCTGAATTTGACCTACCACAGGTCAGCGACCTTACAAAGTACATCTAAATCTTTGATATCAAACGATCCGCTATTCCATTATCTACAGATATGCAAAATTTGGTGCGGCTGCGCCTCGCCGTCCAGAAACCATTCTATTTAAACCTTCGAGGGGGGGGGGGCAGTTGGACCCCTCACCCGAAAGCGCGTTAAGAATAAGGATGCAGGGTAACGCATATGCCCCCGCTCTTCGCCTTGCCCCAGCAATAGACAGGTGACAAGACGTCATTGAAATACAATGTTATACGAGAGGATCTTGAGAAAACAGCAAAAAATGATTCTTGCAAGTAGTGACTGAGGAGTACAGTAACTGGCGGTGGTGGCGTATACGTCTGCATTTATACGCAGGCCCTATGTCGGCGACATGCGGTGTCATGTTTCGTGCAGAAGAGACGGAAACGAGATAAGTTGGGTCGGCGGGGGTATGCTCGGTACAAGCCACATCGTGTTGTTGTCTTCGATGACTGTATTCAGACGACATGTATCTTGGTTAGCACATGCATGCACTCGCACTCGCACTTGAGAGCATTTCAAACATTGAACGCATATATAGGCGGTGATCGCATGTTCTCATCGCATGCATTACATGTGGAAGCGATGATCACTCGTGTTCATCGTGTGTTTGGAAGTGATGATACTGCTATCAGGTACTTATCTGATACCGGCAGGGCGGCCGGCCTGACCGGCGGGTACAGCGGGCCGAGGAGAGGGCGGCCGGCCTGACCGGCGAGTACAGCGGGCCGGGGAGAGGGCGGTAGGTCTGACCGGCGAGTACGGCGGGCCGGGGAGAGGGCGGCAGGTCTGACCGGCGAGTACGGCGGGCCGGGGAGAGGGCGGCCGGCCTGACCGGCGAGTACAGCGGGCCGGGGAGAGGGCGGCCGGCCTGACCGGCGAGTACAGCGGGCCGGGGAGAGGGCGGCAGGTCTGACCGGCGAGTACGGCGGGCCGGGGAGAGGGCGGCAGGTCTGACCGGCGAGTACGCCGGGCCGGGGAGAGGGTGGGCGGCGGATCGACGCCGGGGAGAGGGTGGGCGGCGGGCCGACCCGTCCAAACAACACGGGGTCGATGGGTGGTCAGTGCGCTCGGCTAGTAAGCTGAAGCTACATGGGTGAAAATCTGCTGTTATCTGCTGAAGCTACATGGCGTCGTCTGCATCTCACCCTGACTGGGAATCCGTGGGGAACACTGTGACTGGCACCGTGGGAAATCTGGTTTCGTACCTCCGGTTTCCCAGACGCGTACTGATGGGTTTTTGTCGTTAAAATTGCAAAATGCGCATCGAAAAAAGTGGATTGATAAACAACTAGACAGATGGACGTTTCGTTTGTATTTCAAATTGCAAAGGCAGCTGCAGGCGTTGAAGTCAGGGGCATCTACCAGACAGTAAGCGCCCCGCCCAATGACCCGGTTTCCCAAAGCGCGCTTTGTTTCATTTGGGGCATCGGCGAGTGACTGAGCGGGAGTGGGTCCGGCCGGCGCGGCCCCGGTGGAACGTCGAAGACGATGCGGCGAGCATCCACCGCTGGCGGCGCCACCACGCTGAGGCGTGCCCGCCGCCGACGTGCCGTGAGCACGGCGCCCAGACCGGCCTCGCCGCCGCCGCGCCGCGCCGCGTGGGGCGCCCAATCGCGTCAGAGTTTGGTCAGCCGGCCGCCGTCCCTACCGCCAGCTGGCTTCAGTCGGCGCAGGACGGAAGCCGGGCGCATGCAAGGGGCGCTTCCAGGGCACGAATCGGGTGGGGCGCCGCTTCCACACGAGCGTTGTCTCACCTGACGCGCGGGTTAAGCCCTTCGCGCTGCACGTGCGGTCCGCGCACCCGGCCCACACCGCACCCTGGATAGACGGAGGCCCGGCACGCCCCCGCGCGGCCGTATCTGGGCTCGGTCGTGCTCGGAGTGGTCGCTGCTACATGAGGCGCAGGCGGGGCCGTCGGCTGCACGGAGGGACGGGCGGGCGGACACTGTGAGCTGGCGGCGGCGGTGGGCGACAGTCATCACTGCTCCACGAGGTAGGACGCTGATGGGAGTCCCTTCGAACTGGCCTGGCATCGCCGGTCACGGGAACGGAAATAAACCAGTGTCACCGGCCGGAGCAACGCAGGTGCTCCACTGTAGTCCGTCTGATCGCTGTGTGTCCTCCAATATTGTCGACAACGAATGCCCGACACGTGTTTGGTATGGACTGTCTGCCAGTGAACATTGCGCCGCAGATTTGGCCCTTTGAAGGCTGGCAGCCATACGTCAAAATTCACGATTTTAGGTGGGAAATAATCGTGTTTACGAATGATTCTGTGCTCCTAGTTGCGGCTCATTTCACAAAGTCAGTTTGGTATTCTTTGATAGCTTTTAAGAGAGTGTTTCACATTTGAAGCTATTTAAGCAAGTATCAGATTTGATGAAACAGGCTCACTTATAACCACAAAAAATACCACAAAAAAACATGTAACTAAAACACTTGAAACAAATGTTTGGAAGGAGTGTTCCACATTTGTATCGGTTATTGAATTGAAGTAGTCGTTTTGAAGAGCATTCAGTGCGTTCACAGCACTGCCCTTCTTAACACCTCAACCTCTCTGGTTTATGAGCTACACTCCGGGGGAAGTGTGCAAACTTTTTTTTAGGAAGACTTCTTCAATGGTCGCCCAGGCATCCATGACCCCAAGATAACGTCATTCAAATTCTGCCATTCCAATAGTCATGCGACGATCAAAGCCAAAAAATATGGTCCATATTTGTATCCATATTGGTCTTGACCATGAGCACAATACACCGAACGAGGTGTCGTGTTTGCGTCACTTCGCGATGACGTCAAAATATCTGGATGACCTTCAAATAAGTGATGCGTATTAGGCTGCACACACACGTTCAAGCTTATCAAGCTCAGAAACAAGAGGATGTGAAGTCTAAAAAGTGGCACGGTTATGAACTGCAGACAATCAAGGCGATGTCTGTTTCGATTGAAAACTGCATGCAAATGTCCGCATGCAAATGTGAAAACACAAGCAAATGTCGGTTCCTTTAAAGACCGCACGGTGTCTCATTTTTAGATTAGCGCGTTCCAGTTTTGGCGAGCTGGCCGGTGTTACGTGGTCAGGGTAGATGGCACGCAGGAGAAACGAAACTTCTAGTCGTGATGATAGGATTTATCCAGAACCAAGGAGGTCACAGTATTTCAGCTACATCTCGTCTCAGTGAGCATCATCTCAGAATACACGACGTTTTAATGACCCATCCTTCTTCACTCGCGCCGCATCGAACGGCAAATCCTTTTTACGCCATGCTCAGCGTCGGCCGCGCTCCAGACGGATTAATGGCACATTGCTTATTGGTGTACAACAATGCCGAGGCTAGCAACGAGGCACGGGCTAGCTATGCAAAGGCACACGCCGCCTACGTCGCAACAACCTGTGGGATCACAGGCTGTAATGTCAGACGGCGATGTGGAACGTTCTAGGTCAAATACGGACGAAAAGTAGAATCAGCTGATTGAACGAACAGAGGCCTATGAGAGCAGCAATTACGCACTTCAATGTGATCACATTACACAGTTCTTGGCAAGCTTTGCGGGGCAAAATCATCATCGATCACGCAATCCATACGAGACCGACAGCTGACCACGTGACCCAACATGCACGACCGTCGACAGGCATTGATTGCTTCCAGATGCTGCCGTGTACACAGCGGTGACTTACCACAATCAGGCTGCATCTCAGTCATGACTACATCATGTCGCAAGCTACGACTGGCCTGATGCAGTTAATTTCGGCCGCTTTCCACAACGCCGGTACGCCTCTGTGTTGTCTAAGTCGGGAAGATGGTGTCTTGCTCGGAGCGTTCCCGGTCATAGGAAGCATATCAAGGCGCAGTCAGGATCGACATAGACAGAATACGAGCGATTAGGGTGAGCACATAGTTTTAGAAGATTAAGCAGGCATTGTTTTCATTGCGACGGAGAATGGCGGCACAACACTACGACCAGCAAAATAAATGGGATGCCTGTGAGTTGTTATTGTTTGGTGGAGTCAGAGCCGTATCAACCTGAGAAAAGCTTTGGAACTATGAGCAAGGAATTAAGGACTGTTACGGCACTCAGTCTTGAGTGAGCATCATGTCCGCGCTGATTGGGTTGGCCGTATGGCGGCGGCGGCGGCGGCCCCCCCCCCCCCCCCCCTCCCCACCCCATTCCAAGAACCTGTATAGGGCGGGTTGGGATCCTAAATGCAGCAAGACCTGTAACCCGGAAAATACTGGCATATTGGCCACCTCAGCTTAGCTGCAAGTACCCAGCGCTAAACAACAATTCATTTCTTAAAATTTTGAGATACTGCCACGAGACATTAAAGATCATCACACAGCTGCCCATCGATCATATTTCGATGCCGCAGCCCTAGAGTTCTCACCAGCCAGCGTTATTTGCTAGCAGAACTGTTCCGGCTTGCCAAACGCACTGCTCAACTTGGCCTCGAGCACCGGCATCGCCAGCGCAGCGTTCACGCATGCTCCGTCGGGCTGACCTTGATCTCGGCGTCAAGGTCACAGGCCGCGTGCCGTGTCTGTATCGCCGTTTCAACTTTGTGTTTTCGTCGTTTCAGCTGCGGCGATGGGACGCCTTCCGCTGTTGTTGGCCATGCTGAGTGCGGCATTCTGCGCCACAATGGCCGCCACGGGGCCAAAGGTCTCCACCCAGTCCGGTGATGTCAGCGGAGCCAAACTCAAGTCATTTGTCGGCAACAGCTACTTCTCGTTCAAGGGTATGCTATTTTCGTCAGCTCTGGCTGTATTAGTTTTACAGTTAAGTTCTGCGCTGTGCGAATTGACGACAGCCTGTGAGGCGTGTGCGACCTTGTTTCTTGTCTGCTGTTCTGTGGATCTATAACCAAACATCAGTAGATGTTTGGGTTGGCGTGATTATTTAGTCCACCATGAAGGCTTGAGCAGCACAAAGAACCAAAGAAGATATCGCACCGAAATGCTTGTACCACCGTTTGGAACGGTTCATGGTTATGAGAGGTTGTAGGACCATGATCCCCTTCTTGGTACTCACTTGGTGTGCTGTTGATGTTCGAACATGTCAGCAGACCACACCGCATGGTAGAGCTGGACCAAAGATAAAAATATAGGCTTCGCGACCGGTGGTTAATAAGAAAAAACATACAATTGACAACACGGACTGGGAATCAAAACATCAAATGTCAACAAATCACTGTATATCATTCGTCGTGGTTGAGGCCGAACATCTCGTAGATAATCTTAAAACAGATTATTCATGCTCCTACCTTCGAATTTTCATAACTACGATAGGGAGCTCCCGAGCGCCGCACACACTCCACCGACCCGACTCCCCAGCGCCGTTTCTGCGTTATTGTTGCCTGGTTACAATATTTCTGCTTATCAAGAACCAGAAAAAATGTACGAGGCCAAGGCAACAGCAATAATTCAATGAAATACGTTTCTTATGGCGTGTAGGTACGTTGATGCAACAGACAGACTAGAATAGTTCAGGACCTAGCCAAAATTAGCCTGAATTCGCCTAATTTACATGATCTGAACCGAACCTAAGGTAACGTAACGTAACGTAACGTATCCTAACCTAGCCTAACCTAGCCTAACCTAGCCTAACCTAGCCTAGCTTAGCCTAGCCTAGCCTAGCCTAGCCTAGCCTAGCCTAGCCTAGCCTAACTTAACCTAACCTAACCTAGTCTAGTCTAGTCTAGTCTAGTCTAGTCTAGCCTAGTCTAGCCTAGCCTAGCCTAGCCTAGCCTAGCCTAGCCTAGCTTAGCTTAGCCTAGCCTAGCCTAGCCTAACCTAGCCTAGCCTAGCCTAGCCTAGCCTAGCCTAGCCTAGCCTAGCCTAGCCTAGCCTAGCCTAGCCTAGCCTAGCCGAGCGTAGCCTAGCCTAACCTAAATTAACCTAACCTTACCTAACATAGCCTCCCCACCCTATCCCCTTCTACCCATTGTCCCATTGGCATCCATATTCCATGCCATATATATGTACCGTATTAAGAAGTTTTGTTTAGCCGCCGTATTCTCATTTTGCTTTTCATTCCTCACTCAAAGACGTCATATTTGCCCACCATGTCGACCCATCTACAAACAGTACGGAAGACTGCTCAGATACGCAAGAAACATATTTCATTGGGTTATTGTTGCCTTGGCCCCATACATTTTTATGGTTCTTGATGAGCAGTAATGTTGTGATCACGCGTAGCAGTGGTGTCGTGGTCGCGGTTGCTGCGTGTTTGTGGAGCTCAGATGTTTGCTATCGTAGTTATTAAGTTCCAAGGTGAGAGTTTAGATGACCTGTTTTACGACTTATTATTATATGTTCCGCCCCAAAAACGACGATTGATGTACCATGCTCTTTTTTAACATGTGGTAGCAATGTATACCCTGGCCAAAACATCAACGTATGCCCACCTTCCCAAACATCACAAATTCATTTGTTATGTTTAGAAAAAACTGACCGAAGACGTAGCACGCATAAATGATAAACGCAGTGTACCAGTGTACCGATTCACGTTCTAAGATTTTCACCACATGCACCGCACATTCATAAGCGAAACCGCATCTCACGCACTGTTTGGTCCCAAAATATCTAAATCTGCATCAACCTGAACACAGGCCATAAAACCATCGCCAATGCGTGGTGAAAAGATGCTGCTGGTCTTGAATGTTGACGTTCTGTGACGCACTGCTCGTCGTCGCGGCGGCGAACTTCTCACGCGCACGCCGCCCCCTCCGCAGGCATTCCGTTCGCTGAGCCTCCACTGGGGCCGATGCGGTTCCGGGCGCCACAGCCCCACCAGGGCTGGACGGGAGTCCGCGACGCCAAGAAACACGGCAGCAAGTGTCTCCAGTACAGCATGCTCTCAGCCGGAGCGTTGGAGGGCGACGAGAACTGCTTGTTCGTGAACGTGTACACACCCAGCCTGCCCGCCGAAGGGGAGCACCCGGAGCTACCTGTGATGGTGTGGATCCACGGCGGCGGTTTCGTCACCGGCTCCGGGGACGCCGACTTCTACGGACCGGACTACTTCATGGACGAGCAGGTGGTGCTTGTGACGTTCAACTACCGGCTGGGTCCGTTCGGCTTCCTGACCACTGCGGATGCCAACGCCCCCGGCAACTACGGCCTGCACGACCAGGTACTCGCGCTCGAGTGGGTGCAGGCCAACATCGAGGCGTTCGGCGGCAATCGCGACGACGTCACCATCTTCGGCGAGTCAGCCGGCGGCGCCAGCGTGGGCCTGCAGGTGCTGAGCCCGCGCTCGCGAGGCCTCTTCGCCAAGGCCATCAGCCAGTCAGGGGCGTCGTTCTGCAACTTCGGCGCCAGCGGGGAGCCTCAGGGAAAGGCTGCCGATCAGCTGGCCACCTTGCTGAAGTGCTCTACGGCTAGCAGCCGCGAACTGGTCGGATGCATGCGACAGCGGCCCGCCAAAGAGATCCTCAGGTCACTCGGCGAGATGATAAAGGATGACCCCGTGGTCCAGTTGCCTATCCACTTCAAGCCGCGCGTAGACCGCGAGTCACAGATGCCGTTCCTCCCGCGGGATCCGTACATCTCGCTTCGCGACGGTCAATTCAACCTGGTGCCGTGGATGACCGGCCTGAACCGGGACGAGGCTGCGTTCTTCGTTGGCCAGAAGCGTTTGAAGCCGGAGTCCTTGGCGGCGTGCAGCGGTCGTGACTGGGGCCGCTGGGCGTCCAGTATCCTCCAGCTCACGGGCGTCACCACCACGCCCGCCGTCGTCGCCGAAAAGATCTACCGGCAATACTTCGGCGACGCCGGCTGCGGCGAGGAGAACCTGCAGCCGCTCAGCGACATGCTCAGCGACCGTTGGTTCACGGCGTGCATCACGAGCGAGGCGAACCTGGCCGCTGCCCACACGCCGGTGTACATGTACGTCCTGGACCACATGGGGCCGGGCCGACAGAATTTCCTGCGCTTAATGGCCCTGCTGATGGGGAAGCTGGAGTCCTACAGGGACCTGGGCGTGCCGCACGCGGAGGACCTGCTGTACCTCTTTAAGCCGGTGTTCGGACCGCCGATAGCGCGCGACTCGGACGAGCACAAGATGATCCGGTTCATGGTGTCGCTGTGGACGAACTTCGCGCGCCGTGGGTACCCGAGCACTGACGCGGTGCCCATGCCCAGCTGGCCGATCTACACGGCCAGCCGTCAGGAGCACATGCGACTGAACATGGCACCGTCCGTGGGCCGGGCCGCCTTCAGCGAGCGGGTGGAGTTCTGGAACCAGCTCGACATCCAGGAGAGCTGGCATCTGGCGCTCTTTGACGACAACAAACGCGACGAGCTCTGAGAACGCGCGCGGTCGGTGAACCCTCGTCGCACATGATTGAGTTACCAGATACCGCTTGCCTAGCACTGTCAGTGATTGAGATATTGTATAGATGAACTACGTTATGGCGTTCTTTACAACGCCTGGGGCTTGATTCCGTTTGGAGCCTGTAAGCCAGGCTCACACTGCCATCATTGAGTGTGACCCGATCAAACTTCATGGGCATGAAGAGATACCGCTGCCTGACGGCTGAAAACAGTCTTACGTGAAGTATTTTTGCAGGCTTCTATGCCGGTGCACCCGAATCAACCAAGGCATCAGTAGTATAGATGCAATACCATGACAAAATTCGTAGCATGAACTGCACTAGTAAGGAGTATTATTACTGACCGTCATTGCTATATTCATATATCTAGCCAAATCATGCTGCTACAGGTTTTTTGCTACACTTGCAAGAAGCATAAAAACCTGACTGACATACGTGTGTATATTACCTTTGGCCAAATACAAGGTGCGGGAACAACACATTTTGACATAGACCTATCGCGGTGATGGTTTCAGTCAGCTCCCACCGAAGTATATCGGTAACACAACCGCTCTTCGGCGTACTTTAATTACTAGCCCATATGGTCATATGATTATGTGCTGCTTTTCACAGAGCTGTGAATCAAAGTGTTTCAGGCCAGTTTCATTGAACCCGGCACTAACCGAAAAATGATTGAATGAGAGTGCTCCACAATTATATGGGCTTTTGAACTGAAATAGCCATCTTAAAGACCTTCCGGTGCTATTTGTAACCCTGCCCTTCTTAAGACCTAAGCTCTTCTAGTCTCTGAGCTATACAACCGCAAAAATGGGGAAAAAATGCGTCGGGAGGAGTATTTAAAAGTCATCTTGGCATCCATGATGTCATAACAACGTTATTCAGATCGTGCCATTCCATATGCCATGCAGCGATCACAGCCAATAAAGATATCACTGTCGATGCGTTCATATCTGGACTTTGTGAGGACCATTTCCAGATATGACGGCCGTCAATTGGGTCTCAGTCAATGTTGTGCAAGATTCGAGGACGTAATGGGACCATGCGCATTGAGAGGCATATTTAGTTAATAGAGAATTGTGCTGTCGAAAGCAGTCTTTTCCACTTAAAACGTATACCAATAGTATTAAGTTGGCCGGTACCAGAACCTATCAAACGTCTAATTCTTTCTTTTGAATAGGCAAGATGGCCAAGAAAAGCGCAAGAACATCGGTTTCAAAAATCCTACGAACATTTCTTTGTCCTTGCAAATGTTGTCCTCGATGTTCAGGCAAATACTTAGTAACTTAACAAGTTATTCTAATTACGTCGCTTTTCTGTGCTATTCCAACGCCAACTTGCAGACCATAATGATATAGAGTTGGCGGATGAACGCACCGGCAAGCGCGCCTGTTAGAAATGGGCGGGTCATTCTGTTGACCATTATTAAGGATCTTGGTTACGATGTTGTTGAATAATGAAGACAGGCTTTTTAGTGTTGAAGTAGTGCACCTATACTCACAGTTTCTCCAGCTTCGTCGAGTGTGGGCAAGGCCGTTGTCTGTGACCAGGAACATGACCACGCATTAAATGCTGCTGAGATCAATTTCTACATATTTTGGTAGTACCTGATATCGTCGAAACACCAAAAGAAGTTTAATCTTCCCAAAAGTTGCTGGGGTTTGGCTATCAGAGCCCACCGGCCCCAGTGATGTTTAACGCCCATACCTATGACAGAAAACTGGGCGCGGCGCGCCTGCAGAGACATCACAGAGTTCTCTTTGGAGACACTCCGCGAATATTCAAAGCTCTCACAACCCGACCGTCGAGGTGCCATTGACCTTCAGCCCACGCTGCCCAGCGGGAACTTCTACCGCCGGCGCTTCTACCGCTAGCGCTTCGACCGCCGGCGCTTCTACCGCTGACGCTTCTACCGCCGACGCTTCTACCGCCGACACTTCCGCTTGAATCCAAAGCCATGAAGCGGCGAAGAGAACGACATGGCTGCTCACACAGTTAAGCAGGTCTTGGTGGAGTTAACTCAACTGTTTCATTTTCAGTTACAGTCATGGCGGTCATCATGTCCAGATCATCCCTTTCATACGGCAGCGACCCTTACCAGTGCGGACTTCTTTCCAGCCCTCCCGAGACCGTGATACCAACATCCCTCCCGATTCATGGAGCCCGGATTTGCTCCCGAGCTCCCTGAACTCAGACACGTCTCCTGGTAACAGCACTGAATAGATGGGGGAATGTTACAAAAGGTCGTAAGCTCGCCACAAAATGGCTGATGAAGAAATCCGAATGTCGTTGACTAGAAAACAACCGGATGAATGCCAAGCAAAGCAGTGCTTAACATAATGCGACGTGTGAATGACGCAGAGATGTTGCAAACAAATCACCCGCGAAAGTATTAAAGGGCTTTGTATACTTGGGAAATGATGTCCGTGCTGATAGCCAAGACATGCTACAGCGTTGCATTGCCACATGCGCAGCTCACCTCATATGGCTGCCTTCGACGCCGAGAAATACTGATACATGGACAATGCATGGGCAGTTAATAGGAAACGAGGACAAGCACGCATTGACAAAGCATTAGGGCAATGAGGATAAAAAGGATGCCAGCACCACGTAGGCGTTGCTGGTGGAGCTTGACATCAACGTGTACATCGACAGCACAAATGAAACGCTGGTCGTCGGGTCCCGGCGCTTTCGCTCCTCAGCTGTCACGCACAGCCGAAGCGTCGGTGCGTTGATCGGACGTGACGGGTGGGAGTTTCGACCATCTGATCCTTCGAGGCGTGCTCTAGTGTGTCGCAGTCCGGTGATCCAGAGATGCTCAGCACGGCCGCTGTCTAGAGGAGGAAAAACTCGCATTGGACATTGGTGCGTGTGCGGCGGACGGCCCCTAAGTGGCTGGAAGTGTTTGACCGCCAAACAGCTGGACGGCACACATGTAGCGGTGATAATGGTGACGGCTGATGCCGAATTGAAGACGCACCTTATGTCGTTTGTTAAACTCGAACAAAGTGGCGTTGGCAGGCTCCTGGAGGCCGTGCAGACGACAATGACAAAGTGCAGCATGCTGATGACAAGCTGATCGGCGTTACGACGGATGGAGAGATTGCCAATACGGGAAGGAACAACGGGCTATGGAAGATGAAAGATTGGCTGGAACGTGACACCATCACCGTTTGGTGCACGCGCCAGCGGCAGTGACATCGTACTGGTAAATCTGAAGGTCACGGTCCCGGAACTGGCTCATTGGAAAGCCGACCTGATAAGAGCACCTGGTGAACTCAGCGACAGCTGCACTCACCGATCTGCCTGAGTACAGGTTGCTATGGGAAGCAGTCGAAGAAGAGGAAAAGTCCTCTAAGAGGGAAGAATCAGAAGCGCAGAGGTACTTTAAAGAGTGGACGCAGACCAGTCTAACGAAAGTCGTGTCAACGATGGTGGTGACCATCGCAAGCGCACCCTGCTAGCTCCAAAGGCAACTGTAAAGATCAAACATCACCCTCCCGGAGGTTCCGGAGGTATGATAAGCAGCTGCAAGAAAGATGGAAGTCATCGAGGGCGAACCTTGGCGGGGAGGACCAGCATGCTGGTGTTACACTTTCGGCTGACGGGCTGCGGAAGCCGAGCTCTCTGGTCGCCTTTCGAAGAGTTTACATTGCTTTCAAGAGATGTAACCGAGAAGCCGCTACAAACGCCATGATGAAGCGTCTGGATGTTAAGCGACAGGGGACGTCAAGCCTTGGGACAGGCTGCTGCAGGCCCAGCAACCACCCAGCGACATGAGGTTTCCAACAGCAGCTGAGGTTAAATATCGCGAGTATTTGTTGGGTCTAGTGGGAGATTTTAAGGGCAACCCGAAACGTCATTGGTCTTTTGTTCAGTCGTCGAAGTCATCAGCCCACATATCTTCCGTTCTTGAGTGCGATGACAATGTGTACAAAAGTGACGAGGAGCGTGCCAGCTATCTAAATATATGTTTTGCTCATAAGTTCTGTGACCCTGACGTTCGTATATTGCCTGACCCACCTCTGCTCGATGCGCCTGTATTAGACAGCTTCAGCGCACCACATGGCCGTGTTGCATACTCGTTACGCGATCTCAGTGCACACAATGCCTGTGGTCCCGACGGGCTCAGTGCCTGGATTCTCAGAAAATGTGCTGAGAAGCTAGGTATTGAGCTATTGGTGCCGAGGAGCCATTGGTGCTATGAGCGATAGCCTGTTACAGGTTTGTCTGCCCGCCCTTCTCTCATCCCAGCACGGATTCCTTCCAAAGAGCTCTTGTGTCACAAGCCTTTCATGTTTTCTTGAACGCTGCTGGACATCTTTTTCAAAAGATAAACAAACGGATGCAATTTACACCGATTACTCCTCAGCATTCACTGGCTCTTCTGCCACGCAAGCTCGCTATTCTTTTTGCAGCGCTGCGAGTGCGTACAAGTGGCTGGAGTCGTACCTCAGCAATCGTTCAAAACGCGTGGTGCTGAACGGCAAACAGTCTGACTGGATTCCAGTGCGATCTGGTGTCACGAAAGGCAGCATCCTAGGACCGTTGCTATTCGTCTGCTTTCTGGCTGATGTTCCTGACCAAATCGAGAGTGAGTGCCTTATGTACGCTGATGTTGTGAAAATTTATCTCCGAATCGACAACGTGACAGATTGTCTTACACTTCAGGCGGATTTAGAACGTGCCTGTAAATGGTAAAAAAAAAAAATGGGGGCTGAAACTGAAGCCAGCTAAGTGCAATACCATATTAATCACCCTCCGCACGTCACCTGTTTACTGGTCATACGCAGTAGATTGTCACCGCTTGGATAGCTGCCAGCATATTTGCGATCTTTGCGTCTCGCTGGACACCAAACTCACCTTTGCCAATCACATAGATTCAACTGTTTCGAAAGCAAATAGGATGCTGGGTCTTCTCATGCGAAGCGTGTAAATGTCGTCGTGCCCTCGTCAGGCGCGGTTCAATCTCAAGGCTTTGCTTTGTGCCTTCAACACTCACTTGAGACCATTGCTAGAGTACGGTAGTGTTATTTGGAGCGGTGCTGCCGTTTCCCATCTCGCCCGGCACGAAAGACTACAACATTGCCTTCTCATATGGTTTGGTTCGAGTAGCTAGTCTCGGTGTCCTCCGCTGGATTTTGAACATCACTTGCTTTCTTCAAAATCAAGGCAATCCTCACTCAGCCTGACATCGTATTTCTATAAGCCATATTTCATCACAGGCTTGACGGCGCTCACCTGACATCATTGTTCAGTCTGGTTACACCCGTCCGACGTTCTCAGCATATCGGCCCTTTCCACCAGCCATTTGCAGGGGTTAACACTGTCCATGAATTTGCCGCACGACTTCCCGCTGCCTGCAATCAATGTTTGCAGCATTTCCCTTCAACTGACTTCTTTCATCCGACAAAATTATTCCGATTTGATTTGTCTGGGTTCGCCGGCACACGTGGAACATTTTTTTGATGACTTGATGCGTGGGTGTGTGTAATGTGTATGTGTGTATGTGTATGTGTATGTGTGCAATTTTTGCAGTATTTTCCTTCAACTGACTTTTTCATCCAACAAAATCATTCCGATCTGATTTGCTTAGGTTCGCCGGCACACGTGGAAATATTTTCCTGATGACTTGATGCGTGACTGTGTGCAATGTGTGTGTGTGTGTGTGTGTGTGTGTGTGTGTGTGTGTGTGTGTGTGTGTGTGTGTGTGTGTGTGTGTGTGTGTGTGTGTGTGTGTGTGTGTGTGTGTGTGTGTGTGTGTGTGTGTGTGTGTTTGTGTGTGTGTGTGTGTGTGTGTGTGTGTGTGTGTGTGCAGCCGGTGGGCACCACGGTGCCTAACGGCTGCAATCCTGGCGACGCGGGAGAAGGGTCCCTTGGTAGACCCGGAGGTCTTTAGAGGGTTATATCATACATTGGTCAGCTCCCTGACGCGAAAGGTGGTCTGGCC